CACACACATACAGACCCCCGGCGGGGTGTCGTCAGCCTTTACCTCATCACTCTCGCTCCAGTTGCAGACGTCGAGCTCCTTGCTCTTGGTAAGCCTCATCTTGATGGCGTGGGGGATCCAAATGTTCTTCAGTTCCTCCATGGAAGGATACGAATGCCCCGTGTTGGGGTTTCCCAGCTCCTTCCTGCATGGAGAATCACGGAAGGCTGAGCTGGAGGGAGCCACAAGATGTCATCCAGGGAACCTTCTCTCCCCCCAGCCTATTCCTAAACCTTCTGCAGGACAGACGGGGGACGGACAGAGCTGCCACCATGTCCCCGCGGTTGCCTGCAGCAGGGCCCTGGGAAAGGTGGTCAGCTCATGACAGCAAGAAAGGGCCAATATACAGTCTTTTGTCAGTCTGAAAAAGGAAGAGGAGTGAGGGCTGGGGGCTCAGAAGTGGGTCACAGCCTCGGAGCAGCAATGAGACTGTTGCAGTTCAGAGCCCAGGAGGAGCTATAGAGAGGTAGATTAATGGCCCTGAGCTCTCCGAGGCGGAGAGAAGAACCCGGAAGGCATCACCACTCAGAGCCCTCACCCCGGGAACGGTCACCTACCACTCTCCAAGAGAGATCTCTTTGCCTTTGGTGATGTCAAAGCCTCCTCTCCTCATCACGGCTCTCTGGAAGGCATACTGGCAAGGAAACACAGGCGGGCATCAGCGCGGAGCGACAGGCCGGGCTTGGGGACACATGGGTGACAGCCAGGCCAGAGGTGGGGAAAAGACAGGGACTTTGGAGCCGGTGACAGAAAAAAGACAGGGAGAGAAAGCCTGCCCACTCCCTGCTGGGCTTGTGCTCTGGGAAGCGGGAACGGCCGTGCCGCTCCTGGGGACGGGAGGAGCGAAGGAGCGACAATCCTGCAGTCCCGTCAGCTTTGTCACGGCAGATCTTGGCTTTTCCAACTCCCAACGCACGGCTCGCGCCACAGACACGACCAGATACCGACACGTCCGCTGCCAACCCAGCAGGGTGACGCCGAGGTGGAGAGCAAGAGGCTCAGAGGCAGCGAGCTCAGAGGGACAGCGCCTTCGCGGAACCGGACGGGCAGCAAACCCCGTGTGCCAGGGAGAACAAGCCTGCTTCTGCCCCAAAGCCTCTCCCCCCACCTCAGCCTGCGTCTTCCAGAAATCCGCCTCCTTGGAGCTGTTCACCTCACAGTTAATGACCAGGACGTCGGGCAGGCAGCGGATGTTCCGGGTCTGGACCTGCAGAGAGAGCAGGAGATGGGAGCTGGGCAGCACCCAGAGCCCTGAAGAGGCTCAAAACGGGATTTGGCACGTGCTTCCCTCTTCCCTCCTTCCTCCCC